GAAAAAAAAGCCCATTAAAAAATAACCCCCATCCCCACCCCCAACCAAAAAACAAAAACAAAACAACAACAACAACCCTACCCCTCACCAAATTCCCCCAAAACAGCATGTTGCAGGGTTTGATCAGATGCATCGATTTGGCCAGCCTCTTCTCAAAATAGTAACGGATTTAAACAAATCAAACTTAACATTTTGTATTAAGACAACATCCTGGCAGATATAAAACTCGTTTAAGTTTCTCCTAAAATCCTCTTGTTTTGACTTACGACAATGACGGATGACGGCTGGGTCTATACAGACACGTGCCCTTTAAGCTCTCGTGTATATTCAGACACGTGTCCGTTTAACCCTATCCGTACGCCCTGGGGTCATTTTGTACCCCCGAGGTTGTATTCTTTACATTTTAGAATACTTCTAGTACAAAGACATCTTTGAAACGTTCAATATTTCTCAAAAAATCATTTTGACAGACTGCTATGCAAAGCGCACGGATCGGATTAAAAGGTAGATTTCCTCTTTGGAAAGTGGTGGCACAGAGTTCCCACGCCGTATAGATACGATAGTAAAACACGATGTACGGATAGGGTTAAGCTCCCGTGTTAATTCGGATACGGGAATCCTCTATGAATGCGAGTACCATACATTGTCATAAGTCTTTTTTTTTTAGAATGACGTGTTTCTCTTTCTTTTGGATCAACGCATCTTTGTAGCTTGCAGCGTAAAATTGCATTCTATTTTTCTATTCATAGAACGCTGAAAGAGGTCGTGGTGGCGGAGCGGTTAGTGCGCTCGTCTCCGAAGCGGAAAGTCCGGGTTCGATCAGGCCCAGGAAGTCGTCTCACTAACAAGACAATCCCTAATGTCCGCATCGGATGCGGGAACAACTTCACTTTTTTAGAACGGTGAAAACCTATCGTGATTGTTTCGTTTCTTGGTGTAAACCGAAATGCAATTATAGGCCTACACTGTTCTTAAAGAGGGAAAAATTGATATTGTTCTTTAGAAGGATCGTGTCTGTGTCCGAATAGCCACTGTGATGAACGACAGTGATGGTCTTTTTTAAAGTATTAGTAGAGGTTTTACGGCGCTCGTAACTGCAAAAGGTCATGTGAGCGCCAGAAGATTAAAGTTGTTATAAGAACGTAACAAACATAAAAATAAGAAGAAGGGGAAATAGGGACGATTGAATAATGTTTCATAGGAAAGAAGAAGCAAACCACACCAGCACCCGCCAACCACCCATATAAAAAATAGAAACTGCGATGAACGCCAACAGCGATGGTTGGCCTAAAAGAAAAAAAGTAAAAAAAGAGAAAGTGCCTGTCAAGTTGCAGGGATCTGGCAAACTGGTCCGTCTCACGTCGGCGCGGGTGGCTGTCGTGAAAGAGCAGGTGCTTGTCGAAGTAGCGGGGCCTGGTCACCACACAGGGTTCAGTGAACTCCGTCCAGTATCTGAGGTATGTGAAGGCTGGGGG